GCAACTTAACAAAAAGACTGGACAAACACACCATAGACAGAGAGGCAAGATACACGGTGAGACAGACAAACATATCAGAGACGTATAGTCACATAATACTCATATTTTCCATTGGATAAGAACTTCTCCGTGCATTTTCGTGGTCGTGAGTGTCTAGTCCGTTGTTGAAGCGTTACTTGTTCCTTCCCCCTTTTTTTGCAGTACTGTCTTTAATTTAATTTTTGTCACGTCGGGCCATATCATATATCATTACTTAGGTTCCTCTTTGTCAGTCCGTTTGTTAGTTTGTCCAGTCGAATCGTCATTATTTTACGTACTGGTATGGTATAGTTTTTGTGGAGCTGTCTACATACAATAAGGCCTACATTCTTAAATCCGACGTGTGTCTCAGTCTGAGTATAAAAAAACCAATCGTCCGTCACAGTCTGTCAGTCAGTTGGTCTAATTTGCGTAATGTCTAAATGGCTTGTGGGTCCGACCTCATGCCACGTTCTTGTTCATACCCGATACTTTGAATCAGTCACGTCTAGCTTTTCTCAACCTTTTTTTTAACTCATGAAACAGCCGTTCGTCCTAAGGCAAACGCCTTATCACTTTACACTCTATAACGTACGTCGGCCGGTCTACGAGGGACATTATAGTTCCCAAGATTTTGTCCAGTTAATTCTGTGTTTTCTTCATTGTATAATTAGAAAAGATTGCTACGTGTCATATTATCAACAAGCTTTTTATTAAATATATTTTAAAAAGCAAGGGTTTCGACTTGCTGCGGAAACTATTTAAAAAACATTCGCGGATAAATATATAAGTAGGCATACGTTAGCCGGTCACGAGAGCGGTGGCGCATGTGGCGCACTGCGCAACTCTAGAGCGAAATAGTAAAATGGCGGGTTTCGGCTGGGACGAGGTAAAACATGTGAGACTCCAAAACGCACGTAAATTCCTGCTTTGTATTGCAGGTTATGATACTTTTTTACCCTGACGACGATGTACGGGAGTTGTAATTAATGGTAAGTGAAAATAAATAAGTTACCTTATAGTTTTTTTCTGTAATTAGAGGTCACGAAAGACCCACTACAAGCGACTGCTCTTGAGACTTGAAATTTACACGCCCCCTGTCGTATTGTTAGAGTGCACGCTAGTTGTGGTACTGTGTACACGCGCACGCCTGCATGTAGGCCTATAGTTTACTTTGCAGGTTCCTGTTTCAGAATGTTTTGACAGTGTTCGCTTGTTCGAGGAATGGGAGATAATTAAGCTCCAAGCTACAGGAACGTTATGCCATACGAATCTAAATTGTCTGAAACGTGAACATGATGAACAATGCATGACACAGACCCAGGGAGTGCCTTTGTCACGGCATTAGTTACTTTTAGGACCCCTCTTATTTATTCGCTGTTGCTACTTTGTAAGTAGGCCTAAGTTGAGAATTGCGCATGTGTCAGTTGTCAACCGAATGGTTTTCGGACTAAAATTCCCTTTAAAAAGAAAACTTCAGAGCCATGAATCAGAATTTTTTTTAAAATCTGGTCTTCACCAGCTGTTTAGACGAGTTCAAAACATAAGAATGGGTTTTGATTCTCTTACAAGAATGGGGTTCTGAAAGTAACTAATACCTTTGTCATAGTATGACATTGGTTGTCATGTTGAAGTGAGACTGAAATTATAATGGACTTGTAAGGATGAAAAGGAATAAAATTTGCTTTAGAAGAGATATTGTATATTATATAACCGACATACACATCCTTGTCATTTGATTGGTGGAACTCACATCATGTGACATTCATGTTTTCTCCCATAGTACGCCGTGGCTCAAAAAGTCCCATTCGCCCATGGCGAATGGGAACTACTATTAAACAGTTAGGATCATTCTTGTTCCATGACGCGGTATTTGTGTGCAAATACATGCTGGTGTGCGCGTTCAGCGTTGCGCGTAGCGCGTATTGTTCCAAAGAGCCAGAGCTACAGTGTTGGGTTCAAACATTTTCATGAAGGGGTGGTTTGGAAGAGAGAAATACATTTTCCACCAATTTTTATTGAAATAAAAGTTCAAATTTCAAATGACAATGTCAGTTACATAAAACAAATAATGAGTGTCTTTAAATTGTGAAATGGGAGGAATATTATCGCTCGGTAAATCTGGACTTTTCCAGTTCACTCGGCTTTGCCTCGTGAAATGGAAAAGTCCAGATTTTAACTTACGATAATATTCCTCCCATTCCATGCTGAGCCACTCAATAGTTGTATACCATGCCATCGTCTATCTCGTAAACATTAACAACTGTAGTAAAACAACACCACACAACACTTAACACAGCAAAACAAACACATGGGTGCTTTCTGTGTATCAATTAAACAGACTTAAGGCCTTTTCTAATTATAAATGCAAACTCATGAAAAAAAAAAGGTGTGTTCATGTGTGTAGGGGACTAATTAATCACAATGACAATGTTCTCAGGTGTCATTCAATAATTTCATGGACTAAGGCCTCGTAACTTTGTTTGATATTTGGCAAAGACAGCAGCATTGCAAACTACCAAAATGTAAGAAGAATGACATCATAAGATAATGTTGTCACTTCTAAAGCATGTGGTTCAAAGGAAAACTTCTCTACTCCACCAATGCACATCTTAGCCCTGTGATTAAGTGTCTGTCAGACAGTGTCTTAAAATACTAATAATTGTATTCATTGATCCACATGTCTTAAGCATTGTGGCCATTCCTCTTTGGTAAAAATAAATACATGAATTCATAGCCTCTTTCAAAACCACTCACCCAAAATGACTTGCATGGTAATCATGCAGTCAGTGTCAGGAACATTTGACCAATCTTAAAAATAAATTTTGTAGCATGTACAGAATGTGGAATCTCATATTCTGAATAATTCAACTGAAATTAAAGTTTAAAGCAAAGTTGTAACTGAAACCATCTCAAATCAACCCACAAGTCAGGGCGCAGTCCAGAGTGCAATACGCATGCAATCCCAGTATTGGGATTCCCTGTATACCTTCACTGTTGAAGGCATGAGGGAATGGTATAGGTATTCCACATTGAACGCGCCTCAGATCACAGCACAAGGGATGAACAATGACAAACGAATGCCTCTTAAGAGTTCATTCCAATAACTTATTATTTGAGTACAGAAAGAATTGTCTGTGAGTGACTTGTGATTTAACTTGTGATGACTGGATTAACCACTCTGGTTTGAGGCACAAAGATGTTCTAGTAGCTTAAGATCCAACAAGAGAATGCTTTACACTTGACTAAATTGTTTTAAATACACTTAGTCTCATTGGTCATTACCAACCGCCATAAAGCCACACATAGGTCTACACACAGCAGAGACTATCAACAGTCAAAGGAGACCACAGTATTTTTTTCACATCTGAATCAGAATTCTGCTCCAGGAAAGTTCTGAACTTCTGAACGGATGAGCAATCTTTCTAAAGAGTTAGGCTCCTTGAAAATCACCGGTACTAAATAATTATACAATGTTGTAGTAAAGCCCATTGTCATTCGCAAGTCTGGTCACAAGCGGTGAACAAAGACAAAGGAATGCCTTTCTCAGAGTTCATGACCTTAGACTGGATAGCTTGAGATTGACATGTTATAACAGTATGACAGTGCAGAAAGTGATTTTAAACATGTCCTGTAATATTGAAGAAATATGTTGGATTTAGAAAGCCCACCTCATCCAGCTCACAAATAAACATTTCAAATTAACATATCAGAGCCATGACTGACAACATGGATGGAAGGAAATCAAAACGGGTTGGTACGATTCAATAACAATAGTTCATTCAGAAGGATATTACCAATTTGATTCGTTTATATGTTACAGATGGTCTCCTTTGCTTGAGTTCATTGTCAGTGACTTACCCTGGTATTCCTATGGTGTATTTATGTGAATGTATATACAGATAACTGCAAGTCCTATTAATTATCCTCAAACATTACATACAGAAGACCTCCAGTTCATTCTGGAGGAATGATACTGCTTGATACTGCTTGCAATATATGAATCTTATTTAGTAATATTTATCTTATTTGTACAGTTAGACACTAATACATTATTTACATCAGCTTATAAAAACCCAATCCCTTGAGAAAAGTTAGCATTTTGAGATTGTGTAATGAAAATCCAGGGGGGAAAAGACTTTGCTGGAAAATCATTACTACTATGAAAATTGAAAAACTAAATTATAAAAAAAATCTGAAATTGTTTCTTTCCATTATGGAATAAAAAAGCCAAAAAGTTTTGCCTTTACGCAAGGTAAAACAGATGAAAACTGTGGGCAAATGCCTGCCAAAAAGTGGGGGGGGGGGGAATTTTTGAGACCTGCTTTTGTCATGCTTCAGCTTGACTATATTGGACATGGTGGGTTCTTTGGATGAAATTGCAAAGGATCTTTGCATAAAATTATCGATACTGTGCAACTTTTATTGTTGCAATGACAACACAGTCTCATTGAAAAAGGATATGATTGCAACAACAAAAAGATACGTTCTCTCCAAGAAATTGTGTAAATAAATTACTCAATAATAAATTATTCACAATAAAAATATTTGTATGAGGAAGACTACAAAGTACAATAGCTGTATACAATGTACACACCCACTGTACCTATGTCAAATAATACCGTTTAAAATGCAGCGGTCTTTAAAAAATAAATGAAATACAAAAGTATACACCCGATCGCTGAAATTAATGCCTTGGGAAAGCAAACCTATAATCAGGGCCATTCATTGCCAGCACTGGTTTGTGTGGCCCTTTCTGAAGGACAATTGAATGTCATTCTTTGTGAGCACTGCCGGGTTATCTTCTGCAAAGCTATATCTGACAGGCTTGCTTGCACATTCAAGTATGTGCGCAAACCAGTCCGCACAGCACAATGTCCTTACCACACATTTGCAGGCCACAGCCCCTTCTCCTGTTACTGCACAGAGTCTAAATCTGGTGTGAGCATGTACATGTACACGTGAGCATGTACATGTACATGTACATGTGTACATGTAGCCCTGTGTAAAGTGGATCCAGTTTCAAGAGAAAGCATTATTCTGTGTTAATTAATGACACTAAGATGAAGGGATTACTCAACACATTAACTTGCTACTAAGCAAGTTGATGTTAGAAGTAGCAGTGGTATGGAAACATATACATTGATGTATGTTTCTGACAGTAAGTATATTTAATTTGGATGAGCAGGACCTTGACTAGAGGTTATAGTATTTTATTGCAGCTGCCAGCAGCATTTGCTTCAGTTTGGTGCCTTTCTGCTGTGCCTCAAAGAAATGTACTGAATTAGTTTTACTAGAACTTCAGTTAATATGCACACACCTGCAAATCTGCCTTCCTGAGGTCCTATCCAATACATGTACTGACAAAGTATGAATTTTTCTTTGTATGTGATTTTAAACTACACAATTAGAGCTTTTGAAACACTTATGAAGTCAATTGAAATCATGGAGGGAGAGAGAGAGTCAACAGGAACAGAACTTTGTAAATTTTAAGAAAGAATAAAGTATTCTGATGGAACAAGCTGTGGTTGAAAATATTGCAACTATTGCTAATTCTGCTAAAATAGAAAGTGTATTGTTAGCTACATACAGCGCCACTTTGCTTATTTCTTCTTAAATTGTAGGCACACTTCTCAGGGGCACTTTATGGGGCTGATGATCTATAGGACCACCTTGTTGGCCAGAAGTTTGTAGCCCTATGCTTGACCGGCCAAGCCTATACATTAAATACAACAGTAAATACAACATGTAGTATGAAACTTGATTTCTCCAAAAGTACATCTTCAAGTTGAGTCTGGTCCATTGCTTGAGGATTTGTCACAGATATCTTACTTACGGTTGTCAGTTCTACTTCCAAAACCTCCAGTGCTTAAGCCTCATACGATGGTTTCGGTCTCACAATCATTCATTGGCATGGTAAACGTGATGTCTGTATCACTAAACCTCTTCTTATTTGGCTCTTCAAAGTGTACACAGGTATCGCGCGTCTGGAACTTCAGCCCATTGGTGTTCGTTAACTCTGACCGGATCATCTCCTGCTCCGCTGTGGACTCGGGGATCTTGCTTTCAGACACACAGTTTTGCATGTTGCTATCAAAGCGTTTCCGATCGGAAGGGTTGACAGCTGACTGGGGCCTGTTAACCCCCGTCACACAGGAGGAGCATCCTTTGGTTCCTGTGGATCGTGTCTCAGGTATGGCGTCGATCTTCCTGCCACTACCGCTGAAGCTGTCCCGTTCATTCACACCTTGCATACTCAGAAACTTTGAGGTTCTTCGCTCGTAAGCATCGTCCTGGTCTGCGTAGTTCACTTTCAGGGGTTTATCACGTCTGTAGCTGTCCAACTGTGATACCAGCCAGTATGTCAGCAGCTCTCCTTTGCCCTTCATGTTCACAAGGCCCCTTTCTTCTAGTGTGTAGCCTGTAATCTTATCAAGGTTCTCCTTAATTTCCATGCTGCAGTGAATCTTAAGAGCTGTGTTCAAACAAAAAAGTATGAGTAGAATTTTTAGAAACAAAATTGTGCTCTCTTTAATTGTCTACACTTTTAACCCTTAGTCCCAAGGTATTTTTGCTTGTTACCTTACAGAATCCTTCAAACTTTACCAGCGTACAGGAATCCATAGACTTGAAACTTTAAAGGGGCATCAAGTCCCATGTTTACTTTCTGGACTCTCCATTCCAGAATCCTGCAGAATCCTACAAAACCTCCTGATGGATTCTGAAAGATCTTGGATCACTAGGTTTAATATGTACCAGCATTAGGTGAAAAAAAGAATACATACATATGTAGCATGTGCGGGGATAGTCAGTGTGCAATTTTCAACTTACGTAAACCATTTGACTCCATTCTGGATGTTGTGTTAACTGTGTCTCCAAACAGACAATAGCGAGGCATTGCCGTACCAACTACCCCTGCCACAACAGGACCTGAAAAACACATCAAACAGTACAACCTGGTAGAATAATGAAATAACATTGAGCTTTCACTCCAAGCTTTTCAAGTATCAAAGATTCTGCACTCTTTGTGAACTTGGGAAGGGGGGAGGCTGTGCAGAAATTATGTTTTTGCCATTTCGAACATCTAAGCGATCATGCAATACTTTGTACAGTGTGAAAAAAAATATGGACTCTGTGGACTAAAGTACCCCTGAACAAAGACGGAATATGCAAGAGGCTTCACCTCGCCCACTATGCTGACGAAGCGCACTTGTTCCCTGTGGCATCACAATTCCAATTACAAATTCGGAATCGATTCTGTTTCATTCTGGCATGGAGTCACCCATGCCTATTCAGTGACAGATTTGTCCAAACTCCTTCCCGACTAAGTGAAAATGTGCTTAGCCTACCAGAATGTAGTCCTATCCTGAGCTTCAGCCGGTCATCCGGCCTGTGTCTGATCTCAAAATGCTGCACAGCATCCAGCAGGTGGAGAGCGGTGGAGGCAATCTCACCAGAGTGCCTGCTGTTGTTAATTGGAAGGCCTGACACCAGCATGTATGCATCGCCGATAGTCTCTACTTTGTACGCATCATAGTAGCTGACGATGGCATCAAAGAGTGAATACAGGTCATTCAGCATGTCCACAATCTGGCAAATTTGGATAGAATTTTGTAGTGAAGTTTAGTTTCCAATTAAAAAATGATGTACATCTGAAAACAGTGACTTCAGGTTTTGTTTTACTTGCTATAAAAAAAAATTAAGAATTAGATTTGAAATAAGGAGGCTTAACATACATTGAAGCTACTGTTGTGAAAACATAAAAGCAATGGGGGATTTTAAGGATCTGTATAAAGAAAATAGGTGCATAGCCAAAACTCCATGGCTCCCACTACCGTGGCTGGGGTGGTGGGCAAGAGCTATATGAAGATGGGAAATTCATTCAAAGAAAAGCCCCATACTTGGGAGTGCTGCTCATTGCAGAAAACTGTACATAAACATTTGTGTGCCTCAGTCTTTTACAGGCATCACACCCCAACCCCATGTGCCACTTAAATGAACTGTCTGTTGAAACGGTAGTCCCACCTGGAAAGGAGTGCTCTGTGACGAAAGAGCAGTGAAGCCCACAATGTCACTGAAGAATAACGAGACTGAGTCAAATGACTCTGGCACAACCTGCCGGCCTCTCTTGAGTTGATTGGCAACTGGCCTGTGGATGGAAAATAACACCAACTTTTATTCAAAAGTTATAAAATATGATTTGTTCCCTTTTGCAGCTTGTACCTTGTCAAGTTGTCAAACAAGAGGAGTACCAGGATAGGAGATGCAACAAATAACAACTCGCATGTTCAAAAGGTAAGGTAAGACTTTTTTGTTTGCTTTTTTCCTTTGTAGATGTTGAATTCATGATGTCCAATCATAATGAGATATATGCTTATCATATAATATATTAATAAAAAGGAATACTGCCCTTTTCTTTTACTTCATAGTCAATCTTGTGACAGCTGACTTGTCAGGTGGCAAGTCGGGTCACAAGTAATTGGGAATGAACAATGATAAAGGATCACCCTGGTCAAAGTTCATTTACATTGCTTGACAATCGTCTCAAGCCTGTACTTGCTGTGTCTATCTAAATGTATGGCCATCACACGTCCATGGTTAGTCCATTGAGCCAGGTTTAAAGGCTTTGCTGCATTCATTTGTGATGTTGTAGCCACCGGCCAGCCACGTTTCAGGTCAGGTCACCAAATGCTACATAGCACACTGACTCAAGACACATTTGGTGAACTCCCAATGTGACTTGTAATGACTTGATTCCAACTCTGCTGACAGAGCTACAGCCAGTTATAATTTACCGCCAATCAGTATCTCAGCCTGCAACACTCACATAGGCAGCATTTGATGCAGCAAATTATCCGTCTTCTTCTTCTCCTCGATGAGTTTTTGAGTTCTGTCTTCCACAATTCCCTCCAAGTTGCTGGCATACTTCTCCATGATTACTATCATGTTATCCAGGATATTTGACTTCCTGAAAATTACAGCAAAATACAACACATTCCAAATTAACAGAGCCAGTAAATATAAACGTTTGTTTTAAGGTGTGTGTTTAATGGCAGTATAACTATACAGGCCCCCACAAACTCCCAGTACCCCCCAGGTGCCCCCCCCCCCCACAAACAAAAATCTGAAATTTTTCTCTTGCCAAGGGAGTGTCTTTTTCAATTATCCTTTTGAATAATTTAACAGAAGAGGACTTCCCTTTACGTACGGCTTTATGACGTGAATAAATTGATAAGAAAAAAGATCTCCCTCTAGCGTCAAAAGAGGTCAACCCCCCCCCCCCCCTCCGAATAAGCAGCACTTGCCTGGCCTTGCTTGTTGTCGGGTCTGCCTTTGGTGCCCCCTCATAACATGCTGATGCCCCTGCCCCCGGCCCCCCTCCCCCTCCTCCCCCCCTCCTCGGCCCCTCCTCCCCCTCCTCGGCCCCTCCTCCCCCCTCCTCGGCCCCTCCTTCCCCCCTCCTTGGTCCCTCCTCCCCCTCCTTGGCCCCTCCTCCCAACTGAAAAAGATCCTGGCTATGCCACTTGGCTGTGCCGAATTTGCTTGGCTACTGCTAACAACAACAGGAAGCAACAGCATCCTCTTACTGCTTGCCATGTCCAAGTAATTCGGATTCATACTTACATGCCCTTGTTGAGTGGCTTTAATTTTGATCTTATCGCCTTGAAGTCAGGTCTCCAGTCAGGCACCTCCTCCCAGCACTCCTGCATGATGTGTATTACACAGTCCGAGCACTCCTCAATCTCATTCACGTTAGGCCTGAATGGTTGCGTGGTATCCAGTGGGTAGGTCACCCGATCTACAATCTCTGCACAGAGGGATTAAAGATCAAATATTGAAGACAAAATAGTTAAAAACATATCAATTATCATACTCTAACTATGAACCTTGGTTTCCCTGCATAACTGTGACTTTAACAGTTATAAGGACAGTTAAATTACATTTCTGCCCACATCTATGCTTAAGTATGTTGCTCACATCGAAAGATGTGGGTTTGTGTACAGTTGGTTTAAACTTGGTTCACTCTTTCCAATCATTGCCCAAAGCTTGATTTAGTATGCCGATACTTAAATTTTTCTCTGTTTTCCTAGAACAGTAAGTCTTTAAAGTGATTTCCTATTCGTAGAGTATCTGTACCAAGCGCAAAATCTTACCCTTAGGACTGAGTGGACAGTTTCCATATGGCCCATTCCGTAAAATGATCTCAAAGAGAAGAATACCAAACGCATAGACATCTGCCTTCTGTGTACCAAATAAGGGCGGACATGGATCTCGTAGAAGTTCAGGTGACTTCCACAGTATGCCTGTTGATTTAAATGCACAATAAACAATATTAAGCATTAGAATTTGTTCATTTGTCAACAAAGGCTGGATCCAGTGAAGGCTAGAACAATGTATTTTGACAGGGATATTGGTGCTTGTGTCCTTTAGCAAGGCACTTTGCTACAATTGCCCATCATCACTGAGGAGTATACACAGGCATTGATTAACTCATGAGTCATGATTATGGAATTTCATCCCATTCTTGGAATTTCACCCCCCCAAAACCACACCAAAACCCCAAAGGCCTTATTATCCCCTTAAAATGGGAATAAAAACAGTGGAAGGAAGGTTACACGGAACACAAATGAGCATTTCAAAGTTTACATTAAAATAATTATGTTGCATTGTCAGTTAATAAGAGCGGTGGCAAAAAGTACATCATACTTTCATAGTAGGCATGCTCTCCCAACTCGGACATTTGCTCTTTGGACCTGAAGCGCCACAGTCCAAAGTCACAGATTTTGACCACCCATCTGCTGTCCACCAGGCAGTTGGATGACTTGAGGTTACCATGGGTGTGGATTTCCGAGGAATGAAGATACAGCATTCCCTGGATTCGAATTTGGACATGAGAAAAAAATTACAGGATTAATGAAAGAATGTTTGGGGTTGATTAAAACAGATAGATTAAAACTATCTACTGTCGTAGTTTTTTGGAGCTTAGGATGTAAAGACAGCAATCAACTGCCCACTTGCTTTAATGCATACATGTACCTGTTTAATAAGGTGCCTAAATATTATGGATTGAGTACACTTGTTTATGATAAAATACAAGTTCTCATTTCTTCTGAAGACTTTTAAGGACCACGACCGTTGCAAATTGAAAATCCTCCCTCAATGTACTCAATGCTTTTTGTATATTTTTCAAATGTAAGTTGAATAAACTTCAACATATTCCACAGTGTTTCCTTAATTCAAATCCATATTTTAGGATTTTCCTGATCCTCTGAAACCCAGTCCCATTTAGATGATTTGTTTGAGCACAGAAAAAGTGCAATTCTCATTTTCTAAATATCACCAATCATTTGATTTACCTTTATGATATCTCCTACTATTGAAGCTATGAACATGTTATCTAGTTTCATCTCATCGTTAGCAAGGATATCCTGTTTGAACAAAAGGTAAAATTTTAGTTTTGTAATGTTTAGCTCAAGTAATTTGTAAAGCCAAGTGAATTATAACTGAAACCAAAATGCAAAGGTTATTAGTAATTTAGGAAGTTGTCATTTGGACTTTTGCATTTCTTTAATTTTTTAGACAAACAATGGCTTTCTAAATGGATATTGCAGCTAGACATCCAATATGCATTTTAACTTGCCGGATTTCAAAATTTAACAACATACACTTTACTCAGTTTGCTGCAGTCAACTTGGTGCAAAGACCATAGAACACAAACAATGACATGAATGTTATATTTCATTGTGGTAAGCTCTATATGGAAAGAAATGCATACCTGTAAACTGCCTTTGGGGCAGTATTCGGATATAATGCAGATGTTAGGTGGATCAATGCAGGCACCAATAAACTGATTCAAATGAGGATGTCGAATATCACGCATCTGTAAACACAATAAAAGATTGATAAACAGGGGCATAGCATCTGAAAACTGACATATAGTTTATAGTGCAATCCAGTGTACAAGATATTTTTTATAAGGATGCATTCCTTGCAATGTATACTCTTGTTAAGTATATATGATATTCAAAATCTACATTTTGGTATATACAGTGTAGTCTTAAAAAGCCCTTTAACACTCAATATGCATCTCTACCTCACTTGAAAACTGGTGTACATCCACTGAAGGCAAACTAATTTCTTTTGTGCTTGTGGTGATGGATTAGGAATATATAGTGAAACAAGATAAGAGAAAGTTAAGTATTAGAGAGTTAATGGAAGAAAAACGTCAAAACTTAAAATATGGAGCATAACGTAGCTAAATACATTCAAGAACTTACTATTTTGAGCTCTTTTTTCATGCTTCGGCTGACGTCAATATGCTGCTTGAAGATCTTCTTCACGGCTACCGTAGCACCCTTGTATTTACCAACATTGGTGAAAATCTGGCCCCTTAAGCAATCGCCCGATGCTCGGCTCTCTGTTGTCATGATGCTCACCTGCAGTGATATAAATTGCCAGATTTGAGTATCTTTCATTAAAGGTCGCACTGAGCTGAGTGGTCCTCTTGAACCTCAGTTGTCACTGTAGAAAGAGATCAAGTGAAAGTCGGGATTGCAGTGGTCAACATTCAGTTGACGGTGGCACTTTTTTCATATTGACAACTTAGTTGTCTTTGTTACCTATGTTGGCAGTGATAAATGTGAAAATCAAACACCGGATCATGAAACTGGGAATTACACTGTCGATACTGTGCAGCTGACGAAAATATTGGAAGAAATTTAGGTGAGATTTTGAATTGTTAAGGAATGCACTGTATCATACTTTATTATTGTTATTATTATTTCTTGTGATGAAACCTAAGCGCTCTAGGCACTGTAGCTCACAAGCCTTAAAAAAAACCTGTAGAGAGAGGACAGGGAAGGAATTACAGTTTTGGGACTTGGGAGGAAAAACACGAGAAGAATATTCCGGGGAAAACCCACGGAATGAAGTAGGGAATAAAAACCCAATCCACATCTGGACCCGGGCATGGTTTGAACCCAGGTCAGGAAATGTTCAATCATTCTGTAATATCTGTTTGTTACTATTGTGAAAATTATTTTATATCGTAGGCTGCAATTTGCAGCCACTTGGCTAATTTGAATGGGTCGTGATTGATGAAATAGTGACATCGGTGGTGTCTTGAACTACGTACCCGACTTCCCAATGTGGCCGTAGAGCCATCCTGGCCTTTGAACTTGATCTCATTGTAGTCAATCCTCCATAGAAGACTCGCCAACTCTTGCTCGTACTTATACACCCTGTTGACGAGATGTGAATACATTTAATACAAAGATGTTTGAAGCAACATTCCTTTCTTGTTGCATCCGTTATAAAACCATTTAGAAGTAAGTTTAGATAGGCCTCGGGCAATTTACCGGTTAAACTGGACGCGAAGTCCTGCCTGAAGCATCTACCACACTGTGGTAGATCTTTTTTAGCTTGGTATAATTTTCACATGTTGAACAAAGTCTTCAACACGTTCTATTAGCTTTCTTACTAAAAATCATTGAATCTCAGAATCATTGAAAGAATTCCTTGAAAATGTAAGTGTAACTTGAGCAATACCTTATTTCAGAAAACTCTGTCGCTTTTTCAGATGCATTAGGAAAAGGAATACTTACCAATAAACAGTAAATAAGCTGATAATCACCAAGGAATGGTAATATAATATTAAATCAAAATGCATTTACCTAAATTCCACTGTGCAATGTTTAAAGTCTCGAGTGCAGTTGAAACTGTTGTGATATTCAAGGGGAATCCTTTAAGAAGAAAATGAGGCAAAGGAACTGGATTGGCGTCTTTTGCAAACCGGTATATTTATGAGTACCTGTGAATCGCCGCTCCGATGATAATTGCAATCAGCAACATACTGCCTAAGACAATGAAGGCTATCTCTGCAGGTGACATCGTTTCGTCCGGCGGTTTGCAAAACTGACGGAAGAAGCCACACCTTGGCTGGTCTAGAGGTGGACGGCCACCCGTCCAAGAGATATGTCGGTCTTCTCGAAGCTTCAGAGTCTGTTAGAAATTTGAAGGAAAAAAAATCAAACGTTGTGTTGTATTACGCCTCAAAGGGAAAAAAAGACTTGGCTGTTGAGTTTTCCAGTTCATATAGACCTATGGGAGATGATGAACTAATGCTTCCGAGTGTGTAACAATTTCAATGACAGAATCTATGGCCATCAGATTCATATGGCTCACATTATTGAACGGAATGCAGTTAATAATTTAGGCAGCAGATTAAAAATGTTAGGTCTTTTTGGTAGAATAGCATATATCTTGTGTGAGTTGTACACGTGTGGTTCTCAGTGGAGCACGTTTCTGTCAGTTGAGATACTTACCAGCTCTGTCTCATTGTTTGATGCGTTGTATTGGAAGTTGCCGACCGGCTGTATCTTGTAGTAGTAATCGCCTTGGCCTGCTGTCTTGTTTTGCTCCAGAGCGAACAAGGAGACGTTCATGAGGGCATTCCCGTTCTTGTTAATTGCACGCTGCATACCCATTATACCTAATGAGAGAAAAAAAAAACCGGATTTTAGTCCGGGAGCATCCAATATTGCATCTCTCGACTGCCAGTGTTATTGTCTCTACTCGTGAAGTGATGGGATCTTTTTAATCAAGTTAAAAACCCGGTGGTGATCATGACTAAACATTAAACATCAACATGACATGTAGATGCATTTAAGCTCCAAACAGTGTAGATAAACAACTGTGTAGACGGCCCTCCATGGTTTCAGTTTCATGGTATTAAAATCAAAACCTTTTTTTGGTTTTATTTCTGTCTGGTAATAATGAAACCAAGGATTTTTCAATCGTGTCCTTTTTAACGGCACTGGAGTTGGAAAGCCTTGAAATGACCTCCCCCTCGCTAACCTGACTCCTTATTAACTGCATTGGTTGTCTCCATGAATGTATACCACGTAGTTCCTGGTATTCCGTAAAAGCACTTTATCGCTAGATAACATATCAAGACTGAGAATTTTTGCTCACTTTGATATGTTCCTCTGTTGATGATTTCCTGAATGATCGCTATTCCATCTTCAATTTTACCCCCCTTGGCTAACGTGGCATTCAGACCATGGGCGTACAGCATGACAGCATCGTACAAAAATGGTGCCTCTTCACCTATCTGCAGGAGAAAAAATAGAACAGGTGCATTTATCAGTTTTGCATATTAATCACTACTTTCCGTTTTTTGTGTGTTAATCTGAATATATCCATCATTTGTAATAGCAATGCTGACCGTTGATAACCTTGAGTGCACTCTGTTTCTGCAAGCCTAGACATTGGCATACTTAGAGAAATTTGAAAGCGACCAGAAGATGATTTGAAGAAATTGAAACAAATCAATAATCTTTAAGTTTCCTCATAGGCTATAGATGTAATCATTATAATGGACTACATAATGCTGGTATATCAAAAGTTAAAGGTTTTTTTAATACGAAAATAATTTTAGACACATTTGCAGTTTTAGTTACGTGCAAATAACATTGATCAGAAAAGTACAGTACAAAAATTTTCTCGTTCGTTGTTTGTTTTAAATGTGAAGCAAAATTGAAATCAAGAGGAGAGGAAATTCATGAAGATGAAGAAGATTACAGAGCCGGCATATAGTACGGTCATAAAAGGTACTAAAGCTGTTTTTATAGGGCCCATGCAATGTGATTTTTCTAATGCAATCCTTGGTAATGCACCTGTGTGTCCCATATAACTTCTTTTTGCCACTTTTAAGGGTATTTTAATACCTTTTTGGTTTTTATGCTGACGAAAGTTTCCATATTCATGAGCAAAAGTGTGATATCATTTCAGGCAGAAACCTCAATTTTACAGCTATATTTTAGCACCAAAAATTTCCAGAATTTCGGAAAAGCATGGAATTAAAAAAAAAAATCAGTTTAAAGAAATGCACCTTTCAATAAAATTAACCAAAAGGGATGTCAAATATTTGCCTAAATTTAAGAGGAGTAGAAAGTTGAACAAATCATTTTTTTAGGAACATATTATTTTCCTATAATTACGTTCCTAAAAATCACTTCATGGAGACATGGCCCCTAGTAAGTAAGTATTTGTTTAGTAAACTCAGGGTTAATAGTTGATTCGGAACTCACAAACATGTCATCCTTTTCGAACTCGGTCAGGTTACTGTTATAGGGTGGTTCCTGGAGGTATGTCACGACTTCCTCTTTAAATTGTTCGTAGATTTCATCGTTAGGCGGCGTGTGAAACAAAAACAGTACGTTCTTGTAGTAGTGCAGAACTTCCGGTGTAAACAAACGGGTGTACGAATCTGAGTATTCACAGAGAAAAGAAAGAGAGAATTTCATTCAGTTTGTCGTGATGTGGTTTGCCAGTTCTCTCTTTTAATGCGCTGCCCATCTCATCTATAATGACTCATTCAGTGAAGATCCCAGGGTATTGGGGGGGGGGGGGTATATATCTGTTGCACCTGTATTGTGTCCAATTCCAAAGAATAAAATTGATTAGACCTAATCCAACACATTGAAAACCCGAGCCCCCGTTTCCGCACGCTTTTCCTCGAGATATGATCAGACTAAAGCTATTCATATAGATGGGACTATTTTATTTCAGGGTTATGACAGTGTCCTTTGAGCGAAATAAAAACAACACCATGTTTAGCGTCCCCGCCCGCTTCCTATTTGGAGGCCGCCTCCATAAATTTTCAACAGTGACATCATTTTGGCCTCTTTATCTGTTGCATCTAGCCCATATAAAGCTGTTATGTCATTTCCTTAGTCCAATGGCGGCCATTTAAGAAACAAAAATGGCGGCCATCTTGAAAAATAGCCCGGTCGGGCGGCCATTTTGGAGGGGAAAAAAGGGCCCCCCCCCGCTTCCTTTTTTTTAAAAAGGCGGGACGCTGAACATGCTTGGTTTTTTTTTATTTCGACTTATATCAGTTTGTAGTGATTGATCGTAATTAAAACATGATGGAAATTGAAAGAAATATGATGAAAGAAATCGATGGAGCTTAATACTTAATTTGAATACATCATTTGCGTACCTCCTTCTAGTGCCTTAAAGTCCGAATCATTCGGTATTTTGGGGTCGATTTTAACCACCACGTATTCCCCGTTTTCCAACAGTCCAAAGTCATCCAGAGCTTCGCAAAAATGGTACAACTCGTAGAACTCCCCCATGAAGAGATAAACTGCGAATGAAAAGAAAGTAGCACTGATAAACGTTCAAACATTTGATCTTGATTCAGTGGTGGCATGTGTTGAAATTGCACAGACCTTTTGCTAATTTAAGTGATTTCACTGAAAGTAGGCAACTGGTTCAGTCTGTTTGAGTCATCAAAAAGTATTTTGTATCAAAATTTCAGCATGTGACGAAAGAACTATTTCACTTTTGTTGTTACAGCTATTCTCTTGGCTGATAACTGGATATTAAGATATCAGACACATACCAGGAAACACGGTCCTTTATTATCACAAAAATGAAGTCGCTCCCTTCTAGTACGGTGGGGGACGTCTATAGTCCGACGTCCCATTGGTCCGAAGCCCCATTGGTCCAAAGCCCCATTGGTCCGAAACCCCATTGGTCCGAAGTCCCATTGGTCCGACGCCCCATAGGATTAGGGTTAGGGTCAGTCAACCTGAACCAGTGGAACTACACAGTATTATGTTTCATCGGACCAATGGGACGTGGGACGTCGGACCAACGGTACTTCGGACGAATGGTACTTCGGACTATCGAGACGTAACCGTTACGGTGTATGCAATTTTGATAACACTGCAAGTAAGACGTTGTTACATGACGTTGAAACTAATTACATTTGTCTATATTTTGTCTAAAACGGGCACGTGTCAATCTTTTACTCTAAAATAGAATAAAACCATTTGCGTAACTGAAATGCCACCCGGCAGATAACTTTTGACAGAAAGAGGCAAGTGGGGAACAAAGGATAACCTCAGCTTCGCCAGATTGTCCGGGTGAAAAGACCTTTCCCTGTTCTGAGCCGATATGGCTAAGCAGGCTGGAGTTTATCTCCAGCCTCATCTTAAGCATGGTGCGACTGAGATAATTTATATTCCCCTGGATGAAATGCCAATCCATTCACAGGTTACTCCCTAACTATGCGGTAACCTAGCACAGGTTGAACGCCCTCCGTTAATCGTAGTGTCGTAAGGGAGTCCCCCTAGGCTATGCGGTAACCCATCTGTAGGCCTACTCCTGGGTGGAGAGGGGCAAGAAAGGGTGTAAAGTGGCTTGCTCAAGGACATAACATATGGTCAGTAGCTGAATTTGAACCCGGACCGTCTGATCAGGAATCATATACCCTAACCGCTAGGTAATGTCAACAATATAATAGTTCAAAATATATAGTTCCCAAAACAAGTCCAATGGCATTTACTTCGGGTTGCCTTGTACGTCTTATCGACGATCTTCATCAGTCTCTCGTCATCATTCTCAGGCAAGAAGTACATTCGCCAGTAGTTGCGTTTGTACTGCTCGCTGTAAGACACGTTGATGTTGAGGTCCGGCAGTCGCATCTTGAGGTTCTTCATGATAGACAGGTTCTTCTCCTCGTCCGAGCTGACCAGACTGACCACGCTCCAGTTGAAGTGGCGCAGGAGCTGCATGACCGAGATGGCCACTGCGGTGTCGGTTGAGATGGTCCTCGCGAACGTTTTGTAAACCTTCTTGTCGCTGACTTCATAAGCTGTGCATTTCTGTAACATAAAGATACGGAATATTAGGAAATTGCTAGCCATAGGCCGATTGTTTTTACATCATCAAAGTAAGTGATGCTTAGTTGTCATCTGTTCTCGTCAACTTTCAGATTTTCAGAAAATGAATGTCAACTTTGGCCTACCCCTAGCGATGTACGTAGTGACTGTTAATTCATTAGGACGCCCTCTTGTGCCGTACTTTAGTTAACATTTTGGCTTCATTTTATTGGTTGTGTAGGCCGGATTATGGTGAACTCGTGATTTGGAGTTTAATATCATTCCCAAAGGCATGGAGCTGCATTCTTAGATCATGCAGCTTGTTGTTATTATTAAAAAATTTTGCTGACGGATAGGTCAGCCCCATATCTTGTGGTGTTTTTACTAACAGCTTGATAAATCTCTAGCAAACCAAGAGTCCCGATTATATCGGATTGTAATAAGATTGATTTCAGTGTGAGCATGCAAAAAAATTGGGTCGTTTTGTAACACGGTTATTTATGGTATACTTGCAATATTTGCAGAGAGAAAGACAATGCATTGAATATGACATGTAAAATAGGCGTTCAAACATTACATATAAAAATAGCTCTCGAGGGAACGCGACATCCAGTAATCACATTCATGAAATATTGACTCAAAGACTGTGCAACAAATTTTTTGCCTTAATCCATGCTTCTGATTTGTCCGTGCGCCGTGACGTTGGTCATTAATAATGTGGTCTTTTGATTTTGTAACACTCTCTTAGGGGAAGATAAATTGTCGAGAGTAGTGGTTGAACATCTACCCGAGGTTCAATGTGTTGGATAGTCTTTGAAATATTTATATAGGCCAACGCATGTCTCATGCATCACTTTTTATGGGTATTATATGCCCGTGTAAAAGTGTTTTGTAGTTGTCGTTATATGACATGCATTATCATCCCCGGCGTCCATTATGATTAAATCGCTGTCCCAACCTGGGCAGTCCGGCCACGGAAAAATGATTGAGCGAGACGCAGGTGTCTGCCTGTCTAGTTCCTCTGACGCCAACAGGATGTCATAACCGTTATAGTAGAACTGAAACCCATAAAACAAGGTTTCTTCGGTCAAGCTGACCGTCGGAGTGTGTTAAAAAATACAGGGCATGGCATGCAGCTGCAACGTATTTTCAGGTGTTTGTAAAACAAAAGATATTCTCGAAAGCTTCGAAGGTATCCAAAAGAAGACTTTTCAAGGCACATGTGTAAGAAAATGAGTGGTAACTCTAATGAGAAAGAGGTCAAGTGATTTGAACTTGTGCATCCTCCTGTCGGCATTAAAGAGAATGGAAACAAAAGATCCGATGCCAAATGGAATTCACCAAAACAGCTATGACGATGTCTATTTTCATGATATTGAAATCAACTTGCTGTAATATTTTCAAATGCGGATGTGGCAACTGTTGTGATGTGTGTATTTTTCCTGTTGTGAGAGGCGGTCGTAGATTGTTAAGAAAGGACGGTACTGCATTTTTTTCTTAATCTTTACTGCACTTTCGACCTCGACTATGATCTATATCACAGTTGGAAGATGATATCTGTGAATTCTTTAGGTCAACAGTATGAATCAGTCAACAGGAAAAGATATCTACTCGTGTAACGCAGTGTAGGTATGACATCACGCGTGGCAGTCCGTGCAACGCCATACCAATTATCACATGACTCAAATAGATGACGAAGGGGAAAATATTTATATTTCAATTTCTGCGCAGTATGCCTTTAAAATCCGAATTCTTATCCTCCTTCAATGAACGTTGTAACATGGACCTTCTCTTTAGGTTTATAATAAGGATAACAATTTCGACATGGAGTACCAAGCTATATCTGAAACTCTTCCCGGTGCTGTTTGTTTTCCGGTGTTCGTTTAATGGACGGGCTTATTTGGTTAAAATTCCCCGCGGTATGGTCTCACGGAAGATCAAAGTTGAGCGTGCGCGCCGTACCGACTCTCCCCTCTCAAGAATGGGGCCGCATTTCTGAGTTAATGAACCAATTCGTCACGCATGCATCTCGGGGTTGGCTCCAATAATTGCTCGCAACCTCTACCAACCGTGTTGTATAAAGCTAAGAAAAATACCCAAATAGGGCGGCGAGATCTTCCTTTAATGCCTGATTTTATGGCTCTTTACGTCATCGGTAAAGACATAAATGCATATCTAAAGAACCTCTCGAGCAATGAAATAGGCAATTTGTAATGTACCTATTGCGAATTATATTGACGCACATAACATCGGCGAATGACGTTCTAAAGGTTAATTTTGTGGGATGTAATTGAAAATGTTGAGGAATAAAAGGGTTCTTTTGCTTTATAGTCAACTTGAACAAGCTTTGTTCATTCTATTGTACTCCATTAAATAACGGTTAATTAAACACATGTTTCGCAGTTAAAAACTGAATTGTACATGTTAACATCATAGGTGATCTTATAAAAATTACTTTTCTTTAACACTAATATAAAATAATAAAACACAACATGATTAACTATATATAAAAAACACCCCTTGAAACTCATGTACATTAAAAATACTTAAAACTGATAAAGACAAACTACTATAAAGTAAAGATTAAAATGGTTAAAGTACTTCAAATTTTGCGGTAGAGCACTATTAGCAAATCGTATGGTGCTACTTGTACTGGTCCTACTTCTGAGTGTATCTTAAGGTTAAAATGGACATTTCTTTGAGATGGTAACCAATTTGTACACATATTGTGAGATCCAATATTGACAGAGCAAGATCACTGCACATTTTCTGTCGTCTTTTCTGAACGGTGTTTCGAGGGTGCCCATGTTCATTTCAAAGCATTATCATATCTTGTGTAATCTTTGCCGCGGGGAGATTTATGGTCCATGATGGAAACTAACCTTGTGACTCTTAGAGCTTGCCTGTAAATTACGAGAAGGGAAATTCACCCTGTCCTTTACATAGTTGTATAACGCATCCACCACCTTGCGTCAGATGTAACTTTGTATCCATTACCCCTTCATGACGATTCAGTGATTTCTACATTGTGCAGGGCATTTAGAACTATACCAATAAATCTCGAAGTGTGCGCGTACTCGACGAAGCTAAAATTCAGACTTCACAACATTCCCACACCATGATCCAATGCTTGTCTACTTCAAGTAGACAGACAGAGAACAAAAATGCACAAAGAACATAAACCTCACTAATGGAGATTCGGCCCGCTTGATGGGAACAGGCAAAGATTTAACCGAATACGGGTTGATATCGACGGAAAGTCAGACGGAGGACACGCTATACGATCGGCCCTGTCAAATTAGACACGATCAGGAAGTATCAGTGATTCCCGGCACATGGCAGGGGAAGTACCGGTCAATATACCTAGGGCCATGAGTTGGATGTGAATAAGACTGCCTTACAATGATCAGGTCGTTGGCACGAGGCTTCAGTGACTTGTCATGGGCGCACTTCGTGTCTTTCGTCTTAAGGGGTACGATTGAAAAGCAAAGCCCAATGGGCATAGACACCTAAACCGATACATGACACGAAGAAGTGATCGACTGTCCGTATGTTAGGCAATGATCGCAGGTTCTTTCAGTTCTCCTTTACCGCATTGAGATTAGACCGCAACGATCAAATTGCCTTTTTTATATTAAGTGAAGGATGGTATAAGGTTGCATTCAGTCGAAATTGGTATGTAGTGCGTTAATGACCAACTGATGGCAACTGTATCATATGCCAACGAGAAGTTGCTGCTACGAAAACTGCAAGCATCTGCCATTAGTCGTTTAAGTGCTTGGTATCGATTCTCCTTGTTTCAGCCTGACTAAATTGATCACGGCTTCATACCACATTGATTGGTTTGGTAAAGGATAAGAACGCATATCTAAAAGGTGTAGGCCTATACTCCCTATACACACAAGCTAGATTAAAACTACGTATCAAAGTTCAATTACTTGCAATATAATGCTTGCAGTAGACCCGTAAACTGAATGGTTCTTATAGGCTGGATGGAAAGAAACTGCGTTAAACCGCTTTTCCTTCTTCCCGAGGTCCTTCAGTACATGTTGACAAAATCATCGTCGTGTTTCAAGTGTGCCGCCGAGTGTAAACACTAGATACTCAGATTACTACTTGGCCGTGTAGGACTGTCAAACATTGCGGATGGCTCATGTCTTGAGTTTGCACAGATGAGGAGCGCTGAACCCATTGTCAACAGCAGACTATTTAATGTGTACCCAATGTACTCTTTCTGTATTAATTGTAGCAGACACCCCCCCCCCAAAAAAAAACACCCCGATTTCAAAACCTAGGAAAGAATTTCATGATTCCTTTTTTTATGAATCACGTGATTGATTCTAATGCAGGTTTGCATCTTTTGCCTGTTGGAAACACCCATGGTTCGGGTTTTGATCTTGCCGTCAGCATGAGTCCTTGCTACGTCATGAATTATCTTTGTTGATAATTAAGAACGTCTTTCTTAACATAAAACATCATCAGAATTATTAAGACAATATCGAACTTGCCAATGAACGTATACCAAAGTGGCCCTTATTTTGTATTGCACTTTTGAGTTCATTTAAAAAGGAAAAAACCAAGAAACCGACAATATATGTTGTACAGACAATTTTAAGAAATTTCTAAAGGGAAAGGACACTTGCTTGTTTTGTAATGTATCAACCGCACTCTCAGAAAGTGCAAAATCAGACATTATGTCGGTAATATACTCCGTCGAGACATACATGCCCTTCCCTACAGTGTGCCAGTCAACACGAAAATAAACACTGTACATTTGCGCAAAAGTGAGGCAGCCAATACACGGTAGACAGATTTTGTAATGAAATAATTGTGTACAACATTTGAGATGAGCGACTTTACTCGCCACGCACAAAATTCTTTTGGTTTCTCAAAACGCCACACACACACGCTAGCATCCCTAGATGTAGTCTTCCGTTGCTGGATTAGCCAGGGGTGAAATATAGAAAGCTTTGCGATCAATTCAATCAATCAATCCTTGCGCAGTCTCCACCTGTATAGGAGATTCT